GAACTGTTTTGTTGAACCGTAGTTACACGGGATTCGAACCGGAGCTCCTCAACTCTCAATTACGTCTCTGTGAGCTACCGTGCAAACCTATCGTCTGAAAACCCATTGATATGAAGCTGGATATGTGCGGTGCTAACAATCGGGTACGTATTTGCCATGAGACCGGGTAGGTTTTAGGTTACATTCACAGTCAGTCCATTCGATTTGTGTGTCCATGCAAAAAAATAACATGAAATTTGATTTGTACAAATCCGTTTCGAGCTACATATGTGGTTTGGAATCCCATTCAAATTGCATTTCTGGAAATCTGTTTCAGTCTGACTGCTCTGATCAGATTTCATGTGGTTTATGTGACTTTCTCTCGCAACGTAAAACGTGAACGTCAGACATTGTTATAGGAAACATGCTGAAAGTCGCTGCAGAAACAAGGCTGTGTTGTTGCAAAGTCCCGGGCGAGCAGAAATTAGCAATAGGCTATAACTGAGACATGTTTTGAGACCAGCGGAGATGACAGAACTGAATAAAGCCACTCATACCAGCCTCCTATGTTTCTGCTGTTGCCTCATCATAACGCAGTAGTCCAGCGCTGGCGGCTACACATTGTCATGACAACATCTGTATTGCAAACCCCTCCATGTTGCGTTTGTTGTTGTTTTTGGCGTATACCTACCAACGTGACATCATTGCCATAGAAACCAATGCAGATATTCCAGAAAAACGAAAAAGTGCCATGGACACACAAATAGAATCTGAACAGTTGCGATGCACAGTGTGGACATTAATAATTTTAGATCAGATTCCAATCAGATACACAATCAGATTTGGACTGACAGTCTGAACGAGGCTTTTGTGTAGGCATATGCCAAAAACCACAACATGGAGGAGTTTGCGATCGAGATGTTGTCTAATTAAAACTTTACAAAATGAAAATGTGTAGCTGCCACACTGAACTACTGCCCTGTCTAAATACCCACACTTGCGGTCTTGGCCACTTGAGAGCTTGTGTACGCGATGGGAAGTAAGTGCGCAAGACTGTCCCATGTCTTAAAAATGCCCAAGTGCAGTGCCCTTAATGCACACTAAACCCACACTATCTTAAATACTGCTTCGCAGTGGTATTCGAGGCAAAGTGTATCCCATCATGCATTATGTTCAGGAACTCGCATGCCCTGAAATCGCGAGATATCAAGGTAAACATTCAACTGTAAGTTAAATTAATTATATAATACATTTAATTTGGTTGTAAAATATAAAGTGTTGCACATTTTATTGATGCAAATATGGGTAGAGTATGTGTATTTTGTACATTTGCAACTGTTTTTATCAATTTTTAAATTGTCTTCTGTTAGTTACATAGCAACCACTGAACAGACATTTAGAAGTGTATTTTAAAATGCAAAGTATTAAATATATATTTTTTAAAGGTTCTGTAAATGCTTGCATTTTTTGCAAGACTATAAGTGTGTCCAATCGGGTAAACACAAATTCTACAAACACTTGCAGTCTTCACGCCCACTTGAACAATTGAGCCAAATACAGGAAATACGTCATGTAAGTAGACAAGTGGTCAAGTGCAAAGACCACAAGTGTGGGTATTTGGACAGGGCATGCATCTTCTGAGGCAGCGGCAGAAATGTAGGAGGCTGGTATGCACTGCTTTTTTCCATGCTGTTGTCTCTGCTGGTTTCAAAACTTTTCTCCATAATATTTTCTGCTCGTCCAGCACTTTGCAACCATACAGCCTTGTTTCTGCAGCGACTTTCAGCATGTTTCCTATAACAACATCCGACATTTGTTTTACGTAGCGTGAGAAAGTTACATAAACCACGCGAAATCGGATCAGAGCAGTCAGACTGAAATCGATTTCCAAACCACATATGGATGTAGCGCGAAACTGATTTGTAAAAATTGCATTTCATGTGATTTTTGTCCATTCACACTAGCTAAATATGATTAGATTTCAATCGAATATGCGCACACGTTGGATTTGGAATGACAGTCTGAACATAACCTTAGTGACTGTTTGTTTTAGATAAAGGAGGCAGAGACCGTAGAACTGGCAAACAATGCCATAAGTGAGGCGGAGGACAGCCTGAGCATAATGGGAGCCCTTCGAATTGTCAAATCGTTGCAAGAAAGAGATTTCTTGGTCCAGTCAGCCTTGGGTTTCTACACCGATGGACGTATTCGTGCTGCATTGGCACAGTAAGTGATTGCCCCTCGACATTGAATGTTTGCGATCAGAAATCCTGTTGTGTGGGTGGAACCCCACCTCTGGAAGTTATCACTTGAAACTAAACAATACCAAATCAGAAAGTGAGCTGATTTTCTTTTTTACCATATTCTCTTTTGTTTGAAGTTTCCTGGATTTCATTTTAATGGTTTAATTACATTGTAATCAAAAAGAATGTCTAATTAAATTCTTAAAAACATCAATTTATTAATTTAAAAAAAAAAGTGTATTTTTATGAAAAAGGTTTTTTCAGAAATTCTGTTGTGTATTTTAATTTTTCTGGCAATCAAATGAATGCATAACATTAATTTATCTTTACAGTTATTTAGCTTTACAGTTCAAATTAAAACATGAAAGAAAAACTGAGATTGTTCCTTAACAATATAGTTTTCATATTTTATATTTAGGTCTATTAGTGTTAGTATTTTTATTACATTGAAACATATCTAAATTCTACTGTACAACAGTAATATGTTTCTGTCAAGTTAAATTGAACTTTTATTTTGACTGGTTGCCAAGAGCTTTGAGTTTGTTTATGATATGACGATAGTTTTTCTCAAATGAACTGAACTGGGGAAAATGCTGATGAAGTGACTCTCAGAGCAGCTCTGGAGATGAATATTTTGCATTCATGCCCTCATATAGTGAGGTGACAGAGAATGAAAACACAGCGAACGTCACACGTGCTTCAGTGTGTGTGTGTGTGTGTGTGTGTGAGGTAAATGAAACTGCGCTTTTGCGCCATTTCAAAGACACAGACATGCAGGATTCATATTTAAATTGTCTTTTTGCGGTTTAATATTCACACACACTAGTCTATATCGTGATTTAAGTGTGCTGACCTACTTTTTATTCATTCATCAAAAAAAAAGACAAATTCCATGACGTTCCGCGTTTTATAGTAAATTCCGTTTTTATGACTGGTTTCTGCGATTCTGTCCGCATTTTCTGCATCGCAGAAATCATAGGGCCCTATTTATAGTAATACACAATGTAAACAAGCCGGATTATAGCAGCATTGCTAATTTACATCCGCAGTCCCTAGGCAGGTGCACACAAAGACACAAACTCAAATATACATACAACACTACATAAGAGACTAAACCCCAACACATTTAAAATGTGTTTAAAAGGGAAAATGTTTAAACAACTGATTTATCATAAGCCACTTTTTAAGATGATCTTTAAAGGTATATGATAAGTAGAACATTGTCTTATTGACTGCGGTAAGCTATTCCAATATTTACTCCGTTACAGACAATACTTTGTCTAAAAGATGTTCGCCTATATGGCACCTCGCAGTCCCCTCTAATGATAGACCTAGTACCAATACTACAATCTGTCCTGTTTCATAAATTCATTTAACGGAGGTGGAGCAAGCCCATACCAGGCCTTAAGTTTTTAAAATTGTCAAATTTATTTTTCAATTTTAATTTTATTTTTTTGAAATGTTAGTGATGAGAAGACGGGGCTTTTTTTATCTAACAATTTTATTTTAAGGTAAAATCCATGATTCACTTTTTTGACATTTTTTTTACTTGCGTTTAACTTGTTTGTAGAAGGAGAATGCAGTCCTCTAACAATGGAGATGGTCCTTGAATTCGCTTCAGGAGCATCAGCTGTGCCTCCACTGGGGTTTTCTCAACCTCCCCAAATCCAGTTTCTACATGGAACTTCAGACTACAAACGTATATATCCTGAGGCCAATACGTGCCTAATAATACTCAGACTGCCACTTCACAACAGCTATGATGACTTCAAAACATACATGACTGATGGGATACTGCAGGCTCCAACCTTTGGCGTTTCCTAAGAATGACTTGTGACATGCAGCCCCAGCATGGTCTCCAGTTCTTCATTTGGTGGGACCCAATTGAAACTAATTTACTTAATCTGTTTATCACTTTGATACATTTCTTCTGAAGTAATCTAGAGCTTCTAGATCTATTGTTAAACTGGTTTTCTGTTCAGTTCTCACAGTTTAGAAGTGTGTATATATAAAATGACTCTACAACAGTTAATTTTTCTATACTTGTACCTATTGTTAACAAACTGGTTCTGTTCTTTCAGGTTAGGGGATGTATAAAAAATGTCTGATTTCTTTTTATAAGCAGAGACAGGTAGTGTTTTAAAAAACCTTTCTAAAAGCAATGGTTTTAGTTTCCTAAGAATGACTTGTGACATGCAGCCCCAGCATGGTCTCCAGTTCTTCATTTGGTGGGACCCAATTGAAACTAATTTACTTAATCTGTTTATCACTTTGATACATTTCTTCTGAAGTAATCTAGAGCTTCTAGATCTATTGTTAAACTGGTTTTCTGTTCAGTTCAGACCTCACTCTGGATGGTAGTCCATACTGAAATGTTGCTCCAACAAAACTGGCCAACACTGTCAAAGCAGTGTTATCAAGGTTTGCTCTTAGGTAAGTGATGACTCGTGAGTATCCATCGATCCCTCCGTGTGTCACTATTCCCCATCTGTGTACATAAATTCAATTTTGCCAAAAATTAGTTTACACTACTTTTTGAGCATCAGTGAATAATTTCACATTTTTAATAGTTGTTTGAGTCCCTTTATTGTCTTCAGTGTAAAAGCAGGTAGTGTTTTAAAAAACCTTTCTAAAAGCAATGGTTTTAAAGAACTACAATGCAGTTGTTTTATTGCAAAAAAAATTTAATGTTTCAAATAGCATCTTGATTAAAATGTCATGGGTACACGTGAACAAATAAAGTCATGAATTTTAACTAGCATGCAGTACGGTACTATTAAATCTCTCACACACTCTACAGTATTTTACCCTGATGGCGGAACGAAACGGTGTGTGTGAGAGAAAGAGAGAGAGAAGAGATTGTGTTGCAACTGTAAGAGTGAATGTGTTTGTGTGTGATAAAGTGTGTATGAGTAAGAGAGTGCATGTACAACGGATTTAAGTGTACAGACAAAACTTGTCAGTTAATACCTTATAAGACGCATGTGCCCATCTATGTGCCAAAGACTGTTTGGAAGCGGGACAGAGTATGTCCGTCTTGCAACAGCACAGCTCCACCGTTCAGCTGCTGCTGCTGGGTTAATTTTACTGAGCATATTACGGCCACGTTGTCTCTGTACATGTATCCCCTCAGCTGACAGGTATCCTTGCATCATCTGTTGTGAAACAGAAAATTGTGAAAACAGAGCGCTTGTTCTTGTTTGATTAGGAACAATGATGCCACACAATGTTGACAAGCTGAATAAAAATCTGCAACCGAGATTGTGTGAGAGACACATTCATATATATACCTCATAACCTGATTTGGGATACTGCCGATGAAGCCTTCGTACACACTGCTCGAGATCATCCTCATCAATTTGGGTAAATCGGTCCCTCATTCGTATTCCTAGGGCATGGAGTTTGTGGTACATGTAGGAGGTTGAGCATCCAAGCATCCTTGCCATGGCCTTTGCTTTGAACCCCTGCTTGAGCAACAGCTGCAGCTGTTCCCTAGTCACGTCTAAGCTTGGTCTACCCCTTGAACCTATTGCATCAAGTGCAACAAAACAAACATAATTTTTCATTAAGTAGTACCAAAGTTTTGCTAGTACTACACAATAGAAAATTGAACATATGGAGAAACACTGTATAGGTAAATATAGATTTAAGGTTTACCTAACACTCCTCAGAGTATACACAATGGATGTCATCTAAGCCGGTATGGAAGGTATGGTTGCTTAATTATATATATGTAGTGTAAGGTGACCAGATTTCTGAAATGGAAACCGGGGACATTTTCTATTTGAGTGGTCAAAATATCACTTAAATCTAATTTGAATGATCTATTAATTTAAAAAAACGGGGACAATACATTTTCGAATGTTATTGTTTTTTTAACTGTTGTGGGTTCCCTATATTAATATACATTAATTTATTATAAGGATTTTTGTTTTTAATACAATTCACCAAAAAAACTATTGCACTATTAATAGTAACCATTGTAAAAGCAGTTCAAAACAATATGCCTATTATGTTATAACAAAAGAAAGACGTTACAAAATCACATTACAAAAATAAAACATAAATATAAATAAATACAACAGCATTTAACAAATATACTTGTAAACTTTTAACTAATGTTAACTATTATTTTGCATTTATTTTTTTTATTTTTTTTTCATATCTGAGTGAACCTTCACCACGTGATATAGTTAAGGTGTGTGTGGAAATTGTGCGTTGTGATATGGGGACGTTTAAAATAGTGCAAAACAATCCCGCACCCTGTTGAACCCCTTTTATAAAACGCATAACCCTATAACTTTAATTTAACATAGTGTGTCTATCTCTAAAGTGGAAACCGTTAACGATATTTCTTTTTATATTTGTTATTAATGTCACTCTGATCCGTGATATAGTTAAGGCGTGTTTGGAAATTGCTGCGTTGTGATATGGGGACGTTTAAAATAGTCCAAAACAATCCCGCACCCTGTTGAACCCCTTTTATAAAACGCATAACCCTATAACTTTAATTTAACATAGTGTGTTACTACCTTGAAAGTTGAAACCGTTAACGATGTTTCTTTTGATAATTGATGATAATGGCGCTCTGCTCTGGTCCAGGTTACGTTCTTCATGAAGTGGCGGTGCGCGCGACCAAGTCTAGCAGTGTAGCTGCACAGCCCCCTCTGTTGGTGAAAATAATCACTACACGATTGCTCCGTTAACCAACAGGCTGAAGTGTGTTGGTCGGGCTTTATTTGCGGGCTATTTTGAACGAGTTGTAAAACGGGGACAGCTCCAGTCGGGGACAGAACACCAAAAACCAGGACTGTCCCCGGAAAACGGGGACGTCTGGTCACCCTGATGTAGTGTCTGTAATACTTTCTCTCATACATACATTGTCAACTCCATGCACACAAGTTTAGAGTAACGTAACGTTAAACCAACCTGTTCGTATGAGCGGGGCAGCAGTGGAAAGGACTTGCCGATGCCTCGATGTGATGGCTGTCCGTAATATCCTCAGACTGTCAATGAGTTCACTGTATTTCTCTGGATCATCTTGGCTTATTCTTTGTACATTGTTAAGCAACGAGTCGATCACCCTTAAATCATAAAACGTGCAGTTCCCACGAAGAAAATTTCGTTTGATTGATAAAATTTTTCTTCTGACTGCATTAACAACGGATAACGCTTCCATATCTGTTCTGTGTTCAACGTAAGGGGCGTGTCCGCAAGTTTTTGCAAGAAGGATGTACCGGATATAAACGCTTAATTTTAATTTTTTTTAATTTTAATTTTTTTACTCTCTTAGTTTTTTATATTTATTTAAACTTGTGTTTTGAGCATCAATTAAAAAAAATATATCCAAGCACTTCCCCTCTGTGAAAAAAAAAGGGAATCCTTCGCAGGGCTTTTATTTTGAAAAGTATGATTTGGCAAGGAAATGGGTGTAATCTGTTTTGCATCTAATGAATACGAGTTTTTACTAGTACAAAGTAATCACAGAGCTCTCTAATCATAATTGTTACTAGTACGAGTTGATTTGTAGAGCTCTCTAATTCAGTTATTACTAGTAACAATTACGATTAGAGAGCTCTTTAATTCAATTGTTACTAGTAAGAATGCAACTGCAGAGCACTCTAATTCAATTGCAGAGCTCTCTAATTGAATTAGAGAGCTCCGCAAATGCTTTCTTACTAGTAAGATTTGTATTAAAGAGCTCTTTAATTGTAATTCTTACTAGTAAGAACTGATTTAGAGAGCTCTCTAATTCAATTATTACTAGTAACAATTACTATTAAAGAGCTCTGTAATGCAATTGCAGAGCTCTCTAATCATAATTGTTAGAACTACCGTTCGCTGCTATACATCCTAGCTGTAGCTTGTTAATTTATAACTATAAAACTATGACGCAATTAATATTAAATATTAAAATAATAATTGGACAAGTTTTGTCAGGCGTTTTAGCTGTGTTTTAAGTTAGCTGTGTTTAGAATACATGCATTCCCATAGCACATGTAGTCTATAATCCTACATTATAAATCATCCATACTTCAAACTGCTTGTCCTCTGAAGGGTCGCGAGGACGCTGGAGATCGTACATTATATTAATACAAAATGTATATTATATATTATAATATAATATAGCTCTATAACCTTCTGCGTGGACAGATTGCAAAACATATAGGTTTGTTTATTGGTGAAGTAATGAATGTTGTTATGCTGAGTCTAAATGCTGAGTAAAACTGCGGTGGGGGTTCCTACTTTTGACACACCGACGTATAACAATAGGCTACATGACTGAAACATGAGTGCATTACAGTTTCTTTTAATACGCAAGGCTTCACATTATAAACAAAGTCACATTTGGAGATAGAAGCATTCCGTTCGTTAACATAAAAAAGGAACATTCAAAATGATATAGTCATGAATTAACAATCAAACTCAGTATCTGTCAATCTGACGCAAATTACTGAAAAATAGCTTTAAAAAAAAAAAAAGATGAGAAAATGAAGCTGGCACCAGCTGGTGTAAACATTACGTTATGCCGGTTAGACCAAGAACTGCATGACTGAGTCTCAAGGTTGATGACGAGAAGAATGCGATAAGGAGAGTATTAAACAAAATAACAGGTGGTTTTGTGTACCAAAGACGCTATCAGTGCAGTAGTGAGTTCACTGTTTCAGCCAAACTGGCACTGAGCCATGCCCGCTTTCAAAATCAAGCATTATCAATAACAATAATCTGATTGTGAACCAACAAATGTCAAGGGAGATTATAAATATAAATTAATAGACATAACATATTGTCATAATGTCATAATGTTTTATTATTTTTCCTGG